ATCTATATACATACACTGCATCCTGAAATCACTATATACACCACAGGGGCCATCCAGCCCAGCGGCACACAAGAAAGCAAGCAAGCACAAGCATCTTTTTCGCGGCAGAAGTTTCAGGCGAGTCCACTGTCCTTCAAAATCATGAGACGAGCTCATGAAGAGCTTCTTCTGAGCCTTTTCTCCTGGTCCTATAAAACTGGCGGTCTCTCAACTTTCTTTCTCTTTCTCTTTCTCTTTCTGCTTGTCCGCCTTGGCTCGCGCATCGAGCTTGCCTCTGACTCCGGCGATATCCTCGTTGATGGCCTTGACCACCTGTACCTGCTGCTGCAAAAATGAATTGACCTTATCCCAGGTCACCTCGCCGGGATACTTGTTCTTCGGAAGCTCCTGTGTGGCGCGGGGGGTGTATAGGGTTGCTAGTTTTGCACGGCTTCGGGAGGTTTCGGGGGTATGTTTTCGAAAGGGTCTGTCCTGGAACTTCTTCAGGGACTCCATCTCCTTCCTGAATGTCTCAATCCGCTCGTTGACGTCTCTCCTTATACAGCACAAAACGAGCGGGATTGTGCTGACGAAACAAGTCTGCTTTCGTATATATACATAGACACACATATACCTATATATAACAAACATACAATATATAAATCGGAACAAAAACAATATAACACCCTACTCAAGTCCAAGCCTCAATTGCGTCCAACAAGAATCACTCGGAGCCATCTGCTCGAGCATCTTCTCAACTTTGCCCTGCAATTGCCCACAGGTATTGACTCCCTGATCCGCGAGGTCCTTTGTCCTAGTCCACCTGGCCGCCGTCATTGCTTTCTCCTCTGCTGCTGGTCCTGCTGATCCGGATCCTGATCCTGTTCCAGTTCCGGCATCATCCGCACGGCCATCGGCGATCATCGGATTGCTGGGCATGTCCGGCAGCTCCATGGGCATCTCCAGGCTGATATCGTCCAAGAGGGTCTGCATTTGGCCTGCTTCCCTTTCCGATACCGCCATCCTCTTCCCTTGAAGATTGATGTCCGTTTTCCTCATGTCTTTGTTTCTCGACGTCATAATCCTCCAGGACACGTAGGGTTTGCCGCTGTGGTAGGCAATATCCACCTCCCCGTTGTTGAACGCCTCCTTGAGTGATTCCGGTGTCATGTTGAACTTATGCATGAACAACGTTTGGCTCATTCCTTTGTCCTCCAGCTCAAAGGTCCGTTGGTTCTGCAAGCTTTGGCTTCCGCTCAGGAAAGCTTTCTTGGTGCCAGCAAGCTGCAAGTTGCCGTGCCCGTCCCTGTGAATGATCCTGTTGATGAACTCCGTCTGCTTCTGCCTCTGTCCCGGTCCCGTCATATTCTTGAACGTACTCTGCACCGTCTGAGGCAGA